TACATGTAAATGAATGGCTCAGTTGTTTGTGTATTTTTCCATTAAAAGTTGTTTTTATATGTACATGTATTGTTTATGTGTTGTTTATGGTCGGTTATTGTCACTGGTTACATATTCTGTGGATTTTGTGTTTGAATGAGATTATGTGATAATGAGACATAGGAGTGATTAATATTACTATTATAATAACTGTTAATAATACACTCATTCACTTGTTAATACTGTAGGACCAACAGTTGTATTATGCAGCAAGGAATGGAGACATAGAAGGAATGAAAACTGCCCTCTTTAATGGGGCAGATATCAATTGGAAGAATCCTATTGAGGTAAGTGTATGATGTAGTGACTAGTGTATTAGTATGACTTGTATAATGTAAAAGTACCTGCAGTTTAGTTATAAATCATTTTATTATATTAATATTGTGTAATTACCGTATTTCCTCATGGAAGCACCTAGGCATTTATTCTTATAGAGACCCCTTTGCTGGGTGTTTAAATGAAGTAGGTGTTTACATGAGGATAGACATTTAAATTCATTGCCGAGGAGTCTTCTTCTATGAGCTTCCTTCTCAGCTACAACTGCTATGTTGCCTGTAGAGTTTGCCAGTAACCACTTGGGCAAAGTGGGTGTGGCATAGGCATCTAAACAAGCATGGGCATTTATTGTCAATGTTTTATGCTGTCTCTAGGCGTTTATACAGGTACAGGCATTTATTGGGAGTAGATTTTTCCATGAGGAAATACGGTATGTTCCTCAAACACAGTATCCTATTGATGACATTCATAGTCATTGAATTATTATGTTTGCATTATTAGTTACTGGTTGAAAATACTGTAAAATTATAAGAACTGTATAATAATGATGTAATAATATTGATTTTATTTATCATTTTGTATGTACTTTATTTGTTGTTTTTATTTCTTATAGGCTAAGTGGACTCCATTACATATAGCAGCTTTCAGTAACAGGAGTGAGTCTGTCCAGTGGTTACTCTTTAATGGTGCTGCTGTTGACTCAAGAGATGTTGTGAGTTGTATATTGAATGATACACACATTATTACAACATGATGTAATGTAGTACATGCTAGTTGATAATAAACCAGTTCCAATACATGATTTTCTTTATATTTATTTGTGTGATATTCCAATATTGTTTATGTATTAGTTTACTGTGCACGTTGTAATTTTTAATGTGATAAAATTTTGTTGTACACATTTTTGTGAGGAGTATACTGTGCCATCATGAATTACATGTATAGTACATGTACTTGAATTATGTGTAAACATGTACATAATACATGTACAAGTAGTATGATCTTTTGATATTTGTGTATAATTACTTTTAGTTTAGAGTGTGTTTTATTTATTCCCTTGTAAAAATGCCCAGCAAGATCTTGTTACTATTCTTACAAAATCATGACAAGAATCTTGACAATAATTCGCAAGATCTTTCCTGAATTTGGAACAATGATCATGTAAGATAGTGGAAGATCTTGCTATCAAGATTCCTTAAAGTTCTTGCATGGTATTTTAGCATACAATGCTCTTTAAAAATTAATGCAACAGTAAGATCTAGGCAAGATCTTACATTGCATGAATGGATAATACATGTGTAAAATGTTGTGAAATGTGAATGTGAACGTCATTGATTTTTTTGATTGAAAGTGATTAAAACTTCAGTTTCTTTATATGCTGCCATTACTGTTAAGGCTATCATGGGTTGTCAACTACTTCCTGTGACGTCACATGATTTGTAAGATCTTTCAAGATCTTGTAAGACTCAAAATACTGTGATGTGTGATCTTACAGTATCATGAGATCATGGCAGACTTTTCAAGATCATAAACTTATGAGATTTTGTAAGACCTTATGAGATTTTAAGCTAACAAGATCATGTTAGTTCTTACAAAGTTCAAAATGTGAGATATTTCAAGATTTTAATTAGGCATGATCTTACATTTTCTAACATATTCCTTTACTCATAAGATCTTTGAAATTCTTATAAAAATTATAGTCATGTTAGATCTCAAGAGATCTGACAGCTTGTTAAAATCTTATGAAATCTTAAAGCAAGAATTTGTAAGAATTTCTGTGACAAGATTTTACAAGATTACTATCTTACGTTTTCTTGTATTGTCATGTGAAATCATGAAACATCTTATAAGATCTTGCTGGGATTTTTTACAAGGGTTTTATTAATGTAGAAATTCAACAATACATGTGTACAGTACATTACCTTACAATACATTGGCCACACATTTTATTACAAATTTGATGTTTTGTTGCTAGTGTGAATCTTTACCATGAAGTGCAATGTAGCTTAATTACCGTATGGGTACAAATGATTTTAATGATTTTGTGAAAATATTAAATTCACTAGTAAATTCTCTGCCTCTGTGTGTCTGTCTCCCTCCCTCTCTCCCTCCCTCTCTCCCTCCCTCTCTCCCTCCCTCTCTCCCTCCCTCTCTCCCTCCCTCTCTCCCTCCCTCCCTCCCACCCTCCCTCTCTCTCTCTAGCTGTCTCTAAATTTGCCTCTTTCAGTCTCTTTGTCACTCTCCCCCTCTCG